TTTCTAGGGAAACCAGCATCGGCACCCGCATCCGCATCCGCCAGCGGGTATCACCCCGCCGTCTGCGCGAGTATCCCCCCGCCTTAGCGAGTATCCTCGGATACTCGCCCTTTAAAGGGCCGGCGAGGGACCGGCTGGAAGGGTTTCCTGCCCGCCAGCAAGCTGGCTGCTCGCCGGCTGGAAGGAAATCCTTCCAGCCGTCAAGCATTCACCTTGCTGGCTGGAAGGAAACCCTTCCAGCCGGTCCCTCGCCGGCCCTTTAAAGGGCGAGTATCCGAGGATACCCGCTAAGGCGGGGGGATACCCGCTAAGGCGGGGGGATACCCGCTGGCGGATGCGGATGCGGGTGCGGATGCCGGTTTCCCTAGAAAAAGCAGCCGGATATCCGCATCCGCGTGGATACGACCATCTCCAGTATCGTCTCAGAATTTGAATACCCAAAAATACCGGATTTGTGTTGTCTCACTTTCCTGAGACAATACACATGTATTGTCTTTGGAAAGTGAGTCCGGTTGTTGGTGCCAGTGGCAGGTGCGCGCCAAAGTGCGCCCACCCCGCACCCGCGCACCCGTGTACGCCCTTTTTCCGCAAAAGGGGGTAGGGCGCGCACCTTTAACCCTAACTTTTTCAGGGAGCCCTTCAGAGCACGGAGACGTTGAGCAATCTGCTCATGTGGCCCCCCAAAGTCGGCCATCTTCGGATTACAGCCTTCATCTAGTAGGACATTCTCCAGCTTGAGGTCCCGATGGACGACACCCTTGCCGTGGACATAGCCAAGGCCGAGACAGATCTGGCCAAAGAGACGACAGGCCTCGAACTTGGTAAACCAGGTCTTTTTGACCAGGTAATCAAATAGCTCGCCGCCGGAACAGAGCTCGGTGATCAGCCAGATCAAGTGTTCACTTGCGATGACATCATAGAGTTGGACAACGTTGGGATGATGGAGCCAACGGTGATGATGGATCTCACAGGTCAGCAGGGGCGGTGAGGATGACTTGGGGATGAGCTTGATCTCTCATATATTTTTTTCCACATTTTATCCAATGTACATAGAATCAATAACCTCAACAAAAAAAACCTTCTCTTTCATAAAATCCACAATTCCAATTTTCTTCTTAAAAACACACTGGCAATGGCGCCGCAGGCGCCCCGGGGCACCCCCCGCCAAAGGTGCCATCTTTTGGTGCCAAAAGGCGCACCCTTTTCCAAATGTGGTGCCAACAACCAGAAAAGTGAGACAAGTATTCAGTATCGCCTCAGATGACTGATCCCACCAAAAACGGATTTGATACACAAGATATTTGGCTGTATTGAAGAAAAAAGAAAAAAGAAAAAACAAAGACATTTTTTTTTTTCATTCATAAATCCAAATCCGAGACAAATAGATTTTTTCACCAACCAAGAAAATACTGATACCAGTATCAGGCTCAAAATAAAGACGATACGATCCGATACAAATACATGTCTCATATCTGTTGCACCATTGCAGATACATATATCTGTATTGTATTGTCCAGTAACATAATGTGAAAACCCCCTTGTCTTAAGGGTTTCACAAGGTCAAGAGGATCAGATTACATAAGCTACTAGATGTACATAGCCTAGTTCTGCCCCTTTCACTTAGACGGTAGAGCGTCTCTCTCAACCGTCTAGGTGAGTACTACAGATTTCACTTTTCTGATGATCTTGTTTCCTTTCTCTTGACACTCAAAAGATGGTACTGACTAGAGAGCTTCTCTCTCAACCGTCAAGTCTTGAAATAAAATCACACCTTGGTTCTAGAAGTCTAGGCTTAACCGCCTGTGTCCGCCGGTCTAAGTGAGAGACTTTCAGTGAAGAGTCACATCTCTTACACATAACAAAACAAAAAATTCCATGATGTTGTGGCTAATTTGATGAACCAATCTGCACTCTGGTGGAGGACTTCTAGCACCAAAAATCTGAGCTTGAAGAAAGCCCTTCAATGATATCTGCTACAGCCTGATCTCTATTAATACAGCCTTCATCATGTTTAAAAATCTCAAAAAAAAATGAAGTAACAATACCATTTTCTACAATACGCCGTTGGGGTCAAACCTTTTATCATATTCTTAACAGTCCACCTTAACCTACATGTGGCTCCCTCACCAGATCCAACACATCAACTCCCTTGCTCCATAGTAAGTCAGACATGTAGTCTTCTTTCACCAAATCCAATGTTGCAATTCTTGAACAATCTACATCCACATTTGACAAAAGTCTCACTGCTAAAATCCGATTAGTTTGCTGCAATAGAGATGTTATTACGGATGCGGTTTGTTTGAATCACGTTTTTTTGTTTTTCAAGCCACACATGAACTATTTTCAAAAGAAGCGAGTGGGTGTTCTTAACTGCGGAAGTGATCTGAAGGGGAAGAAAGGGAAAAAAAACGGCTTGGATAGAATTAAGGACTCATTCCCACCGACGCAAGCAAGAGAAGGGGAAAGAGGGAGGGGGGAACGAAAGGAACAAAGAGAACGTAATAACAATAAGACAAAACGCGATTTGTTAATGATTCATAAGATTTTTTCTTGGTATGCCATATGCCTATTGGCTAACCTTCCGTCTCATTTTATTGGAATCTATGCTTCAAGAACAAGGAAATAACATAGAACTTAAAAAAAGGAAACGATCACAAAGGACTTGGAATTCACTTGGTTTGCTCTCTTCCTTGGACCAAATTGTAGAGAAAAACAGTTGATTCAAGTCAAATTACGCGAAGATTGTTATTATTGTTTTCTTACAATCTCCTTCGGCGAGACACTAACTACGACTTCACTCTTCAGGTGGGGCCTATTCAAACGATTATCACAAAGGATTAGAATAACTTGTCGAAATGTGTTAATGACCTAGCTAAGAACACTCACTTCATCTTCATAAGCCTCTTCAACTTCTTCATCATCATCCAAGTGAGCCTCTTGGTACTGTTGGTACTCGGCAACCAGATCCTGCATGTTAGATTCTGCTTCCGTGAATTCCATCTCGTCCATTCTGATGATTCAACAAGTGTTTAAACAAGTGGAGATAATTTGTTAGCAAACACATCAGTGAACAAAACCTCATGAGGAAATTCAGACCCACCCCTCTCCGGTGTACCAATGCAGGAAAGCTTTACGCCTGAACATGGCCGTGAATTGATCGGCCACTCGCTTGAACAAGTCTTGGATGGCGGTCGAGTTACCGATGAAAGTCACGGACATCTTGTGTGCACGAGGAGCGATGTCACAGTGGGCGGTTTGGACGTTGTTTGGAACTACAAGGGTATCAAGAGACCAGCGTGGTGAGTAAACTACGTCGACATGCTTAAAAGTAGCCACCTGAGGCAAAATAGGACTTACTCCACTCAACAAAGTAGTTCGAGTTCTTGCTCTGAACGGACAGCATGTTCTCTTCGACCTCTTTCATGGAGACCTTACCACGGAAGTAAGCGGCGACGGTCAAGTATCGGCCGTGTCTGGGGTCTGAGGCCGCCATCATGTTCTTGGCATCAAACATTTGCGAGGTCAACTCGGGGACGGTGATGGCTCGGTACTGTTGGCTTCCACGAGCGGTAAGCGGAGCGAATCCGACCATGAAGAAGTGCAATCGAGGGAAAGGAACCATGTTGACAGCCAGTTTGCGGAGGTCCGAGTTCAGTTGGCCGGGGAATCGAAGACAAGTGGTGATCCCACTCATCACGATCGAGACCAAGTGATTGAGGTCACCGTAGGTCGGTGTGGCCAACTTCAGGGTACGGAAGCAGATGTCGTAAAGGGCCTCGTTGTCGATACAAAAGGTTTCATCAGAGTTTTCGACCAGTTGGTGGACCGACAAAGTCGCGTTGTAAGGCTCAACGACGGTATCAGACACCTTGGGCGAGGGGACGACAGAGAAGGTGGCCATCATACGATCAGGGAATTCTTCTCGGATCTTCGAGATCAACAACGTGCCCATTCCGGCTCCGGTTCCACCACCGAGGGAGTGGGTAATCTGGAAACCTTGAAGACAGTCGCATCCCTCGGCTTCCTTACGGACGACATCTAGTACGGAGTCGACTAATTCGGCACCCTCAGTGTAATGACCCTTGGCCCAGTTGTTACCAGCACCCGATTGTCCGAACACAAAGTTGTCGGGGCGGAACAGGGAACCAAACGCGCCAGATCGGACCGAGTCCATGGTTCCGGGCTCCAAATCTATCAGTACCGCACGGGGTACGTATTTGTTGGTGGCGACTTCATTCTACGAGTCGATCAGAGCGGGATCATGAGTGAGCAGAGCATGAAGCACTGGAAGCAGAGAAGAGATTTGGTTGGATCACTTACGTAATAGACGCTAATTCTCTCGAGCTGGAGATCGGTGGTACCCTTGTATCTACGTAATTGGGTTGAGTGGTTCTGATAAGCGGCCTCGATCACAAATGGTTGAAATAAGCTTAATCATGATCGACGTACTGGCCATCGGTAGCGATACCGTGTTCGTCGGAGACAACCTCCCAGAATTTAGCACCTAGAGAAATCGAAATGAGATGGTCCGTGTGAGTTGGGGACAAACAGAGAACAGAATGTGCTATGAGGAGAGCTTACCGATTTGGTTACCGCACTAATTCCGCCAGGGAGAAACGAGAGATCGACAGATGAGCGAGAAAATAAAAAATAAAAATCAGAGGCAGACCTTTCCAAGAAGCGATATACTGGAACCGCGCAATGCCAATGGGTCAAGATACTCACCTGACCGGTTTGAAGATGACTGCAAGTGGATCGAAATATACACACAGTGGATCAATGACAGCCACCAATACAAGAAAAGAAGGAAGCAGTGAGTCACTTACACGATTTCTCTCATGATTGGATGATGGTCGGATTAAGTTGGAAGAAGCTACGTCGGTTCTATAAAAGACCTATAGTGACGACGAGAAGCAGGTCAATGAGATCTAGGTCAGCAAAAAAAAAAAAACATGCAAGTCATGGGAGGGCGGATGAAGAGAGTGGTCGGAATCGGAGTTAGATCAGGTCTGGTACAGGAGGGGTGGAGAAGCAGGACAGCAGCCATGACGGACTCTTGGGGGAATCAGAAATGATCGCGATCGAGCAAGTTGTGGAGGGGGGAGAGCAGGAGAGAAGGAGGGGAGTGCAAGACTTGAGGAGAATGAGACTGGGACTGACAAGTTCTAAGTTTTATGTATGGTTATGACGCTGTTGACTCTGAGGGGAGACGGTACAACGAGGGGGAAGAGCAGAGTCTGAAGGCAGCGGAGATGAGGGGAGGGGGAGGGTCAGGTGGGATTATGTACGAAGCTCAAGGGAGTACAGTCCGAGTTGATTTAGTTTAACCCAGCCAGCCAGCTGTTAAATTAACGATAACCTGGCTAAACTAAATGGACAAACTTAAAACCTATTCTGGAAAGAGGTCGTGATCCAAGTCCCAGGCCCCAGCTCTCAGATGACGATGGTCGATTGAAATCTTGATGATGTCTATGGCCTCCGCCTGGTTGAGACTGAGTGGTGCCGGAGAAGTTCTTCTGGTCAAGTAAAGTAGTCGAGCACTGCGCCGCATCCGATCATCACCCTGGGTAAGATTTAATACACAGCACAAAAACAACCTGAGAACACAAAAGAGACAAATTATGATGGAGTCTTGCCAAAGCTCATTGCCGGTACTTCATTAGTTTCTCAAGATACAAAAACAAATCAGAACAAAGAAGGAGAAACTAGGCAGCCACATCATCATGACATAGTACAGCCAAACCAACAATGCTTGCAACTTTCGACAAAAAAAAATAAAAAGTTTGACTTGCAAAGAAAAACTTTTTAGCTTATGGGACTGCAAGGTGGGAAAATCAGGACAACTCAACTATCTACTATTACACAGTGAGAGTTCCGACATGCAGCCAACTGACATTTCAATTATTTATTTATTTTTTGCTCAAGCAAACTTTTATTTTTTTTGGAAAAAGTTGCAAGCATTGTTGGGTATGCTGTACAGATCAAGTTGAAAATGAACTGAATTCACAGATTTGATTCTTTCATTAATAATGGACTGAATCAAAATTAATTTCAAAGGTATCAAAAAATGATGGCCACTCTTGGTGCCATGAAAGTGTGAGAAACGCAAATCCTACAAGGTCAAATTCAATGCAGGGCCAACATGTCAGCATTCTCTTGCCTGTTGAGTTATATTTTATGATTTGGTGGGATGAATTTGAATACCATTACTCCAGAATAATTGGTGTTCCAATGCCACTTAGAATGTGGTGCATTCAAACAAGTTTGAGTGGGTATACCTAGTGCCCTCCCAACACCTGTTGGGGCTTGATTATTGATAACATCATGAATGCTGTGATGTCACTTACTAGCAAGTGACATCATAGACTCTCCAGATGAAGCTTGCACCTTTGTTGATCCAGTACATTCTTTCTGTAACTTGACATCATGCACAGTCACTGTGCAGTGGAGATTGACCTGGTGCTCACTCCAAGCTTTGACATAGGCTGGGTGTGAGCCTCATGATGTCAGCTATCAGCAAGTGACATCTCTTTTTTCATGGTGTAAGGGTCAAAGAATCTGATGATTTAATTACTGAAGCAGGGACATCAAGAGTAATAGTAACTACCTAAGTATATGAAGAAAAGTTAGAAAAAATAAAAATAAAGCAAAGACATGAGAGAGAAAGTGAATGGAAGTGAACCCAACAAAAATTCTATATTCTTGAGTTTCATGTGAGGAGAACATATGAGACAAGAGAAAAGGTATAGAGAGATGATAGAAAACAGATCCAATATAATAACTTTGTTTCTGTTGGATCAATGGACACAAATATCACAGTATTGAGAGTCTCAGCAGGGCTTATGGTCCAAATGATTGAGATGGAAAAGAAGTTGATTGATAGCTTCATTTGTGATTTTGAATGAGTTTGATCAGTGGAGCTGATGGGTTGAGTGATAAAAAAATGAGGAGACAGAGGGTGGAGAGGAATTCAAGAGAACAGGATTAATGATAATGGAGTGAGACAAAAACAGAATAAGAGGGGTAACACAGGCCTCCTTCCAAGTGAAAAAGTTTGGTTTTGAATGCAATAAATTTGCATGGGTTTTGGATTTGCATTCACTGTTATTTCATTATTTCTATCAGCTAAATACCTTTCACTGACAGGTCACACAATCCACATGAGAACTGGGTCAGATTGTGTGGAAGGACTTCCACAACCATATATTACATCTTGCCTATGGTTAATGTGTAAAATGGGAAAATTAGACTTTAAGTTTAGAGAAAATATTGAATAATGATGGACTTCCCGTCTCCCAGGTGGCTTGGTTTAGAGGGACTGGCCAAACTTTGTTTGCTGGTAAACTCTTGAGCTCAAACAATTTTCACCAGAAAATTAGCTTTAGTGCTTCCTTATAAAGTAACAAATTTAGATGACAGGAAGTCCACCAATTTTACAGGCAAAGAATGCCCTGTATGTGAAGAGATTCTTGTAAATACCAAGGCATAATTATCATGAAGTTTTATTTTGAGATGAGCAATTCCAATTCAAGCATACAGATTTTTTAATTAAAAACAGCATATTAGTGGAAGGCACAATCCCCACCTGATGGTGGCTTGATTTTCAAGCTCAAAGATGTTGAAATTCTTGAACTTCAGGCTAAGGAATGCAAATATCACTTATGGTTTGTAAGTTCATGGGGAAGATGTGGAAAACCAAAGTGGTTTGATGTTGCTTTCAAAGTCAAATTTATGAGATACCACTCTCATAAATATCAGGATGATCAGATAAAAAGAAGAAATGAAGAAATTGAGGGTTAATGTGAGCTGACAGGGCTCAACACTGGGTTTCTATATCATGCTGAACTATCTGACTCATCAGAGTAATGTAAGAAGTCACTTGTTATCTCCAACATCCAATTTTCATCTGGTGGATGGTGTGAAATCCAAAGGAAATTAAACAGAATAATTTTACAAGAGAGGCACTGTGGTTCAAGTATCAGTAACAAGTAGGAAATGACTCACCTCCTATTAAATCTAAAACACTGAAAGGAAGTTACAAACTTGTGACATGAAGGTAAAATTAAATGAAAAAAGTAGGAAAGGAATACATTGTGACAAAGCAGAAAACCACAGGGTAGTCAAACCTCTTAATTTTGGCCACACCAAACTAGAACAATCTTTCACTAAATGAAAGAGTAAGTTCAAGGATGTCTACAAATAGAAATGAGATATTTGATCTGTCAACAGATTGGAATGGGGTATTTATCTTGGAAGAAAGACATAGGAAATGTTTTTTGGGGGTAGGCCAAGTAAAGCTTGAAGACAATGAGATATACAACCAAAGATCTCCAATATGTGGAATACATGAGTATCATTTGATTTGAAATAACAATTTGTTAAGCTCTTAGATACCTTTTCATGTTCAGATTATGAGTGAAGTGTGCATATGAAATATGAACAATGGATGACTCTTGACAATAATCCCACATATGTAATCAGACTTAGAGAAAGTGAAAATTCAGATGCTATTGGAAAACAGTCAGAGAGTTTTCTTTGCACCTGAGAGATATAGGAAAATTTGGTTTTGCAATCATCTACATTGCATGTCATGAATGATAGTCTGTGGGAAGTTATCCAATGAGTGATACTCTTGACCTGTAATGTGGGATGAATCTAGTGTTTTGGGTTAATTCAGCTACTAAATAGGTGTTTTTCATCTGCAGGAGTTGATGGTAGTGATAGTTGAATCTCCCAATAAGATGTTGCGGATATTGAGAGACGGCATTTTTCTTCAATAAGAAGACATGATAACGTAGCGATTGCACTTGAATCACGATGCATTTTCTGCCTTGGAGAGCCATCTTTAATCTCCCTGTTCCATCAGACTCAAGCTCAACATTCTCGACGTTTTGAATCACTTCCATCAGATACTAATCCCAAGTGTCCTCACACGATGCGATAAGCAACAAGAACAAGTATGTAGGGACAAAATGAAATGACAGCCAAGAGAACTTGGAGTGCCTGTCTGAATATTGGTTTGGAGCCAGTTCAAATTCGAACTTGGCACAATTACCATCGCCTTCCGGGTAGGGGCGCACACAGCACAACCTAGCACAACCTCTTGAGTCCACCAACTTTGATTCGCAAATTCAGAGGACCCGCTGACTTGACTAAATGATTAGACATCTTCATGAAGAGAGAAACCCTCTAAATTTTTCGGGACTCCAAATCGAGGGGGGCTACTCGCCTCTGTTTACCATCGCATCCTTACTGCAGAGGCTCAGAAACCCCCAAAAATGAAAGAGACCGGGAAACGCAAGCAATCATTCTACTGTGCCCAGCTCATTAATGTGCATGAAACGCGCAAGTGTACTCTGGTTTTATCTCGCTGGGCCATGTCAAGCCAAATCTATTGATATCAGTCCATGACCCGCCTTCCGAGACGAGAAGGCTTGGATAAGCTACGGCTTCAACCCAAGAAATCAGACCGGTCCTCAGTGTGGATGGCTCGTCAATCCAGCCCCCTCAGCAGCCTTTTTACGGCTGGTATACCGCGAGAAGGCGGGATTATTGGGACAGTTTCGAAATGGACTGGTCATTCCTTGCTTGATTCCCGCCCAGAATGAAAAGAAGGCTGACGCGGAAGCTCGTGTGTCTTACTATTGCCTTGGAGTGACTGGCCTTCCTCTCGGCTATTTAAAGCGGGGGATCAATCGCCTCATTGTTGTTCCTCCCAGATCACTATCCTTCACATCTGCATTCTTTACAATCATCTAAATCAGTTCGACTACGTCGTTGACTATTACAATCCTTTGTTATACCCCTTCAGCATCGCTTTATTCCGCTATCTTTTCAGCCAAACCCTACTACTCTATACCACGACTTCTTTCTCATACTACCAACGAACCAAATCCTCCAAAATGTTGTACCAAAACCGAATCTTAATGATTGCATTGTTCATTGTACAACTAGTCATCGTCCCAATCCAAGCGTTACCCTCGAGTCAACCGCCCTCCAGTGGAACCAACTACTCGGACTTAGACGATAAGGCACCGTCACATGATGCTCACCAAGCCTCTACCTATGGCCCAACAAAAGGAAAACTCAGAGAGGAAAGTTCGCATCGAGGTGATGCTACTTGTAAGTCATATGAATTCTGTTTTTCCATTGGTGATGGCATCCTTACATTTCTTCTTTACTTCTTTAAGACTACTCTCCTGGATTGGGCTCGTGTGGACAGCAGAGCGGTAATCAGGATCTCATTGTAGCAATCTCACACACCCTCTATGACAGTTATGAAGGGGTTAATCAGGATGCCAATTCGTAAGTAGACTTTTCACTTTTTCGCTATGCATAGTATCCCCACACTTCCTGACACTAGAAACATGTCTTCCATTAGTCTCTGCGGAAAAAGTATCCGAGCATCTTATGGCCCAAACTCTATAGTCGTCAGCGTTGTTGACCGTTGTGAAGGCTGCAGTCCCAACGATTTGGACCTTTCACCGGCCGCGTTTCGAAGATTGAGTCCACTTAACACCGGCAGACTACATGGAATCAGGGTATGTTGATGTTCCTGACTACGCCGCACGCCCGTTGCACAAAATTCTGATCCTGTTTGTTTCTGTTTTTCCAGTGGACCTTCGCCTAAGGTTTATCAGCACGCTTGGCATGCACCAATACTGCTTCAAACCTTGGCAAACAAGTTTCACCAATTAATATCACATCAGTCAAATCAAGCTATCAATCACTTTCCTTACTACAATCATTCAATCTTGGGCTTTTCTCTTTATCACTCTTGGGCTTTCAGTCAAATCTTCTTTTATTGTCTTGAGAATTTCTCACTAATCATTCATAAACCACTCTCTTTATCACTCTTGGGCTTTCAGTCAACTCGTCTTTTATTTTCTTCTTGAGAATTTCTCACTAATCCTTTATAAACCACTTTCTTGATTTCTCAAAAGTTTTCAAAAATAGTCTTTTTCTTTTCAAAATTAATCACTTTCATCTTAGCAATAATATCTTCCGGGCTTCATGTATCTTGGCACTTCTCTCTGTATCTTGGCAATTTGTCCTCAGATTGCATGTAACTCTTCCTTAGGCTTCTATCAATTATTATATCGTCATGAACTGTTGTAACACAATCAAATTTAATAATTTTGAAAATCAATTACTCGCACATCTACTCACATGGTTCAACTTCCTCCGACCCCATTTGCTGATGGATGGTAGCCAGGATGTTAATGATCATTTGGAACATGTAGTTTGCTTTCTTTCCTGTTCAGTCAGACTGAGCCTTGAATCCCCAGGGAGACTCATCAGTGAGCTCACTGATCTTATCTCATCACAGCTATCTTTCAAAGAATGCTTGCCAGGCAATGTTAAAACGGATCGAGTAAAGACCGCAAAATCATCGGTCGGGCGGTTTGAAGTTTGTGCAAAAATCCTGAAAATGCATCCACATGGCGCGGGTGTGCACAGTGCGGAAGCAACCGCAGCACAAGTTCACTCTGACAAGTTTCACCTCTTGAGGGCGATTTTCCACAGATGAGGGCTGAAAGTCGGTTTCGCAATTCTTATCAATGACTCAAGTGTAATAATCAGGCATGTCTAGGAAATCTGCCACTTGTAACTTGATGGACGAAGAAATGCTGACGATTTCGCCAGCGCTATTTCCCCTCGTGGTTCATCGCCTTTCAGTTCAACAATTCAGGATTGCGGTGCATCACTGATAAACCTCAGGCCTCGTGGCTTGAGGGGCAAATCCTATGTCACGGAGTCCGAAACTTTCACGTTAACCTTCATAGAGGACTCCGCGGTGGGCAACCGCCCCTAGATCGGCTGAAAAATGACCGGATGTGTGGGCTGATTCATCCTGAGTGCGGTGAGGGAGGCGATGCGCCATGGGGTATAATTGACTCGGTGTTTTGTCCCCTCCCCAACATAAGCTTTAGCTTATCATTTTCAGTACAGATTTAGACATCAGAAACAATTTGATTTCTAGAGAAGATGCACCAAATTTCAACTTTTTCTCATCTGAAGCCCTTGCTGACTAGAAGGCCGGATTCGCATGCCTACACTGTTTTCATAATTTCACCTATCCCACTGAAGCCGACCCTTTATCCCACCAAAGACTTTGTGTCAATCAGCATTCTGGTGCGCTCCACAGCCAACACGCAGCTGGTGAACAGCAATTGATCTACCACAGGTTATATTCTGAAGTTTTTCTCCGCATCTCTAATAGCATGGAGAACTTCCATGTACATATGATCTATCAGCACCGACTCCAGTTGTAAATAGAGGTTGAATTGTTAATCACCATCTGAGGAACTGTATTACACCAGGAGCAGTCAGCTTGCACATACGAGTCACTCGGTAAAACAGATGATAAAAGCCTGCACTCTTCAATACTGCTATGAATAAAGCTCAAACGCCGAGTCAAGTATCACCTGGGATCAGCAATTGATAGGTAACTCCTTAAAACTAGTATCCTTGGGCTGGTTTCAGGCAATCGATTTGGTGAACAGTGCAGTGTCTGTCATCTGATCTGATAATTTATATCTATGATGTCGCGGAAGACTACAAGATACATATACTCAGAGCGCTGATGGTTGATATCCGATTTAATAGCCTCTTTCCTTCTCGGAGAAGCATTTCAGATAAAATCTCGTTTCTGCTTGTTATTAATTTTTACAAATGACGCACGAAATCAACGAAGATCCTCACAGGCAATCCGGCGCGGTTGATTACAAGGTGTGTTCCAAGGCATTCCTACCCTCATTTTCACTTCAAAAAAATGACTTTGAAAAACGACGACCGCCATCTAGATTACCGAGCCGGATAACGGGGCGGTGGCAATACAACAGGAACAACTGACCTTCCTGCAGCTGACGGAGGCTGGCTCGCCTGGAGATTCGCTCTGGTGGCCTTCGTCATTGATGGGATTGTTTGGGGTTAGAAAGCCTTCCGTCTTTGGGAGATTTCATGACCATCTTATCATCTTAAATCTCTCTATTCGTCTTGAACCTTATAGGCCCAACACTTTGCTTTGGGATTTTCTTTACCATTCAAGCCATATTCAGAACTAACCCATCCCTGGCAGCTTTAATTGGTATAAGAAACCCGTTCTTCGTTTGGAATACTCATGCCAAGCAAAAAGATATCACGAGGATCCTGACAAAATCTCTACATGCACCATATTCGCATTATCAGGAACCTCCTGCCTCGGATTACTCTACTGCACAGGTGTGGTGCTGTCTCCTTTGGCGTTAAGATATCCAACGTTTTGCATTTGGTCTCCCTGGATTGGCTCTATACTCTGCTTCATTGGTTTATTCAGCGCAAGTTATACCGACAAGGTAAATCTTTTACTTTCAAGTCAAACAAAACCTTTACCTTTGATGAAAAAGGATTGGGGTTTTAAGGAGAAGGTACTACTTGCATTTTCAGGCTGTGTTTCTGATTCTCACTCAAGGTGTTTTATACGGAATCGGAGGCTGTGAGTAGAAAAAAAAATCTTCTGGTCAATAAAACTATTCCCATTTTGGATTTTGAATCTTACTTCCCCTCTTACATTCAGCGATGATCTAGTAAGCTATCTTGATGATCAAGTGGCCCCCCTTATGGGGTTTAAAATCTCGAATATTGCAGTTGAATATCATCTTAACAACTTCTCAGTACTCCCAATCTGATTTACCTCTCCGAATGGTGGGTACTCAAGCGAGGCTTGATAGGAGGACTCACATTCTCAGGTGAATCTCTTCTAGGGAACTAGGGATCTTTCCCCACTCATTTAGCATCATCACAATGGTTAATGCGCGTCACTTTGTAACAGGCTCGGCTGTTTTGGGTTTAGCCTGGGGACCTATGATGCAGTGGATTTTGGAAAAGCATTCGACTCCAGTAACATTGCGGTACTATTCAGTATTGTGGCTACTCCTCGTGCTTATGCTTTTACCCTTTTTCCAGTGAATTTTCTTTTCTATTCTTATACTAGCTTGGGAGAGCACACGCTGATCGATAGTTATCCATTGATAGTGGAAGGCTTCCCAGGTCTTCTAGGACTAAGCCAGAAAGTACGAACATGGAATACATGAAGCTGCCCCTTTTTTGGTTCTTGATTTTAGTAAACGTAAGCGGCATAGATAGTCTGATTTACAAGAAAAAACACCCAAGTTCTCATCATCTCCTATATACCCCCTTTTTCCAGTGTGTGCAAAGCTTGTGAGTTTTTTTTTTTCGTCATGTTGCGAATTCGCTTTGCGGGTGTTGATATCCATGTTATTATCTACCCGCAGAGCTTTCTACGTCCCCGTTATATACATGCCATCATTCGCCACGAGTATGGGAAGTTCTGGGGCACTCCCACTTGAGTTTTACTCAGCAGCCAGTATCCCCAGTCAAATAATAGGTGGTATGGCGAGCGATTTCATGGATTGCAGCTGGATCTTGTTCATATCATGCATGACAAGCTCAATCAGTGTCTTCCTCATGTGGGGTTTCTGCAAGGATTTCGCCATGTTTTGTGGGTTCTGCACAATATGTGAGTAGTTGACGAGGCTCATCACTTTCGAAGACCGAAGTCCATCATACGACAAATCCACTTATTTAATTACTTGTATTTCCAAGATGGGCTCTTCGCACCGTGCTACACCTCCCTTTGGCATCGATTCTCAATGATCATTGCACCTAAAGATCCAAGATCAGCCTCGATAATCAACTTCTTTTTGGCCTCGCGCGGCGTCGCCAATATTATGACCGGGCCCCTCTCCGGGCTGCTTCTCAATACCCCAACCCCTTCGATGAAAGACTATCGCGGAGTTATCAATTCATGTGGGACATTGTTGCTCATCAGCTCATTAGGAGTAGGAATGAGGCTATTTTACGGCAGCGTACCTGAGAGTCCATCAAAAGAGGAAACGTACGAAACCCATACGACTTCAACCGATCACTGGCACCATGTAACATCGAAAGACTTGCGGAACAGAAAGGAGGATTCGTATGAGATGAATAACCTTTAGCAAGGAGAAATCAGCTATCAACTTTCCCATTGGCTCTCCAAAATTATGAAAGATTGATCAATATTGTTCAAAAAAATATGGATTGAATCTGTTTATGTTGTTTATAGAGGATTTCTCTGGCTTCTCATCAATAAAGAAGTAGAGCTTTGACTTGATTTTCCGCTTCAGTAGAGAAGAAAAATACATAAGCTTATTTCTCATCACAATTAACCAAAACATTCTGGTGGAAACCTGTTTATCTTGAATATGCCATTTTCATTCTCTTTTTTTCTAGATAGTCCTCTTCAAAACACCAGCAGTATCAATGTTAAGCCCCACATAGATCAATTCATGTTATCATATATCCTAAAGGAAGATGAAATAATATCAAAACATGAAAATTTTAAACCCAAATGTGAAATATTACATTCTAGTTTTGATCTTAAATCAAGTTCAGACAAACTGTCATGTATGTCTAACATAGATCATGGAAGAGAATTTGATGCCACAAAGGAAATGAACCCTCCATGAATTGCAATGAGCCTGCATAAGGAAACTGATGTCTTGTCTTTGCAGCAGGAAAACATATTTTATATTAGAGTGAAGTATATGCAAAATATAGACTTCACTAAGTACCAGCATAATTGGCTGGGTTGAATCAACAGTGGGCCGCTACGCTACACTACGCTATTTGACCACTAACTGTTAGTGTAGTGGCCTTTTTATTTCCTGGAAATTCTGTAGTGTTAGCTGACGCTAAACCCCACTACACTAACTATTAGTGTAGTGTAAATTTTTCTCTCAATTTTTTTGGTAGTGTTAGCTTCAAATAATCTCAGCTAAACTAACAGTTAGTGTAACTTTTTTTGCGCTAACAAAATTTTGACTGTCAGATAGTGTAACTGATTTAAAGCTAACATTTAGTGTAACTTTTACCAAATTAAGCTACGCTACACTACACTACATGCCTATTTACGCTATGCTACGGTAGAAGTTACACTACACATGTAGTGTAGTGTAAATCATCAATTAGAGAAATTGACATGTCAAGTGAGAATTTATGCTCTTGAAACCTCTTCCTCTGCTTTCTGTTTTCAATGGACAAGTTGTGTGAACTGTCCCTATAACTGATATGGCCGAGGTCCATAGTGATGATTTTCAATGTCCTATGATCACACACAATCCCACAGAAAATGAACAGCATAAGATGTAGAGACAAACAAACGGAGGATGTTCCTGGTGAGATTTGCTACAGACCCTTGTGGTTGTAAGCAACGGTGGGCCGCTACGCTACACTACGCTAAATGGCCCACTAACGTTAGCGTAGCGGCCCTCGGAACAGCGCACCAAACTTGTAAGTGTAGCGCGCTGTTAGTGCCACTACGGTACGCTACGGTGCGCTACAGCGCTTTTAGCGGCAAAAACGGCCAAAAACGCTAAATTGTGCTGTAGCGCAGCGTAGTGGCCCCTTTTTTGCGGCCCACACGCGTAGCGTTAGCGCAGATACAGAATTTTGCGCTAACACTCCGCTACAATGTAGCGTATTTGCGCTACACTACGCTAGGCTAACACTACCGTTAGCGTAGCTGGCCCAGCGTTGTTGTAAGGTTAGTTGGGTGGTAGTTGCCATGTTTCATGCCAACAGTTCCACCACACTCTGGTGATACATCATGGTTACACTTCAACCCCCCCCCCCCCTCCCCCCTTGCTACATGATGTGAAAGTGGAAATTGAACAAGTGTGGGAATCGAACCCAGTAAAGTATGATCTGAGGGGGAATTGAACCCATAATCTCAAGGTAGTCTGACAGGGGAATGTGGTCTTACAAGTAAGTGTTAAAAATTGGCAGGGGGCTAAAATTGAGTGGCCACCATTACTAACTGAAAAAAATGATGATCAATTAAGGGGATCTGGATGTAGGCCCCCCAATCAGGCACTGTCTTCAGGGTAGACTAATGCTAGTCATGTGGTCATGTAACTTTTAATCAGTTACGCTAACAGTTAGTGTAACTTTTTCACCAGTTACGCTAACAGTTAGTGTAACTGAGGGTACCACTACGCTAACTGTTAGTGTAACTTTGCAAAAAGTTACACTAACATGTAGTGTAGTGGGATCACCCACTAACACCGCTAAAATTTCACTAACAGGATTTTGGGTAGTGTTAGTTGTGCCTTTTTAAAGGTAGCTAACACTACGCTAAAGTTTTTTTTTGTTTTTTCAAAAATCCTGTAGTGTTAGTGGTCCAAAAATTCCCGCTAACGGTAACTTTTGTGTAGCGTAGCTTAAAAAGCTAACACTACGCTGCACTAACACTACGGTTAGTGTAACTGGCCCACTGTTGGTTGAATTTATCCCAGTTAAACTGGGATATACTCAACCAATTTAAAATGGATTGAACCAGCGGTGGGCCGCTACGCTACGCTACGCTTTTGGCCCAAAAAGCGTAGCGCAGCGGCGCTTTTTTTGCGCCAAATTTTTGTAGTGTTAGCGCTTTTGTAGCGCATTTTCGCTACGCTACGCTGCGCTACAGCGCTTTTAGCGGAAAAAGCGGCTAAAAACCGCTAAGAACGGCTGTAGCGCAGCGTAGTGGGCCCTTTTTTGTGGCCCACACGCGTAGCGTTAGCGGTGTCGTGGCGGAATTCCGCTACGCTACGCTTAACGCTAACGGAAATTCCGCTGCGTTACGCTACACTAACCGCTACGGTTAGTGTAGTGGCCCACCGTTGATTGAACTCAACCAATGAAATACAAATTCAAGGAACTGAGGACCAGATTGCTTCATTCATGTTTCATTGATTAAATAGCCTCTGAAAATTGCATGCAAAGAAATTTATTTGCTGGTATCTAGGGCGCTCACATGACAAGATGAAAATGCAAGCAACTGATGGCAGTGGGCATCCAAGAATTCAACTTGCACTCTGCATGAACTTTGATTTGAATAAAAAACAATTCTGCATTCTTCAAGTCCAGCTCTTACAGCTGTTTTATAAATGCTTGCACTTTTTCAAACTTTGTTTTTTTTTTTCTTATGCAATTCTTTTTTAGGCCCCACTCTTTCCTGGCCTGTTGGGCCAATGTACAGCAGCTAACCTACTAATCATCACAACCAACTCCAAAGAAAACGCTAGACTCTGGATGATTGGGCAGTCTCAACTGATTGGTGGTCTGTAGGACTTTGATGGAAAAAAGGATAGATTACTGTGAGTAGAACCACAACTAAATAGAAACATCAGACAATTGTCAAAAGTGTTTGAGTAACAACCAAAGATAGAAAAAGTTCAAGCATACCAAAAGCAGAGTAATCTGGAAAGAATAGTGACAAGCTGAAGCATAGAAGATCAAACAAGGATATGTAGATAGTACACACTGAGACAAAAAGTAATGAGAAAAAGATGGAGCAAGCAATGAGTCTTTTGAGAGATGGGAGAGCAAAGAGATCAAGTTGTTTGTTTTTCTCACCAAATTGCTAATAACTAATTGAAGGTGTCAAGAGTTGAGGTAGTCAAGTTGAGGAGGTAGTTTGATGTTTTGAGATGATAGTTGATATCATACTGAGATTGATTAGAGTGTAGAATCAACAATGGAACAATGTGATGCAATGTGGTAAATAGCCATGTATTGGCATCACATTGTTTTTTAGCAATGTAGATTATTTTGATACCAATGCATCATATCAAAAAATCAATGCATTGCATCAGCATCATGTTAGAAAGCAATGCAAACCAATGCCACCAAATTATAGTGCATCACTTTGCCGTTGCGATACCAATGCTCTACATTGAAGAATCCAATGCAAGTGATGCAATGTGGAGCCCCCCCCATCTCTCTCTTGATGTGAAGTGATACAGGCCCAACACAATGTGATTCCTATGCATGCATTGCATCAGTTAAATTTTTGGTAGAATAAGAGAGAAGAGAGATAGAAGGAAAAAATAGAAGAGGGAATCATGCAAATTAAAAGTGTAAGGGATAGTTGAGAAGGCTTGGGAAGAATTGATTGAAGAATGTTGGGCTGAGGTGAGTTGGTTAAAATTGAGAGATTGATTGGAAGCTGTTGGTGGTAGTGGCAGCAGAAAAAGGGAAGGATCCAGATTTCAAAATGGGCAGGTAAGTGAGAGTGTGAAGTTGGTGGATGAGTGAGCTTCTGGGAGAGAAAAAGAAAGTGTGATGAATTTTGAGAGAGTGGTTGGTTTTATATCCATGACAGAATGTTTAAGTTGTGGTTGAATGAGGGTCAGGTCAGGTTTTTGAAGTGCGGGTGAGAAGGAGATCCTAAGATGTGAGCAGAGAGAGAAGGTTAGGAGAGTGGAGGTGCATGTTTCAAAACACTTACCACAGGTGGGGTTGAGGATGGAGTGGTTTGGGGTTAAAAAGGAATTGTGCAATAAACTTTTTTTGGAAAGGCACAAGCTTTTCCAACACTCCGCTATGGGACCCTGGCAGGGACAACTTGGGCCTGTTTGTGTGCATAGCCAAAGTTACAGTCACAGGCTCAATAACTCAATATGAACATATACAGGAGCCCATTTAGCCATAGAATAATACTGTAGAATGTTTTTCCAAGTTGGGTGTAGTTGTGGTAGGATTTGTATCAAGTAATTTGAAAGCACCTTCTACCCAAGGATCTTCTTTTTAAGGTTGACTGGTGCTTACATAAGGCAGTTCAAGTAAGCCCTGCTAGGGTCTCACTCCAAAGCTTCTTGTCAGTTGCTTGACTGTTTCTTGTTGTAATATGTGACACAAGTGTTCATCATGAGAGTTCCACTTGGGTCTGACTGGTATTTGGACCTCAGATTCATGTACGGTGACTAGACAGATGCTTCCACTAGACTTTCTTTGGACTCTTGTATCTCAACCCATATTCCACTTCAAGTAATCGGAATTGTTGATATGGCTCATAAAAGCCTTCCAAGGAAGAAGGTAAAAAAAGGGCCTTAATAAAAAAACCCGCATTTTCCGCGTTTTGACGCGCTTTTGCTGCGGCACAGCACACGCGCATTCCGCTTTTAAACCCGCATTTTTAATTAATTTTTTTTGCCATTAATTTCGAGTTTTTTTGATTTTTTAAAATTTTTTCCTACACTTTAAAGGGTGTAGAATTTAATGGTAAAGTCCATTTACCATAAAAATGACTTTGATTTTTTTTTTTTCTGCTTACTCATTTTTTCAATTAATTGTTTGCATGCATGTATGTACCTTATTATTTATGCTTTTTTGAAATTTTAAAATTATTTCCTAGGTTTAAATGTGTGCAGAATTTAATGGTGCAATCCAATTTTTTTAAAACTCAACGGTTCATTTTTAATACTGAAATTAGACCCATTTTTTCACTTAATTTTTTACAGCTTAATTCTCATCATTTTTTGACATTTTGAATTTAT